GAGGGACAAGCCCAAAAAGTGCTACCTTTGAAACAATCAGAATGCTTATGGGCAAGGAAGGGTAGAGTTGGATCCAGGGGTTTTTTAAACAAGAAAAGTTGGTTTTGTTTAGGAAACAGGAGCACAAGAACATATCTAGACTATAACCATGGAAACTCTGACTAAACAGGACAAAATCTAAGAAAAACACCACAAAAGCACGTAAAAGCCACACCCGCATAACGTCGAGCTCTCTTTTTTTACGTGAAAGGGGGCAGTTTTTGTGCTCCAACTGTTCAGGCGTTCGTCGTCTTCCGGCTGTCTTGTGGCAGATGTGGTTGATTCTTGCGTGCTTGGCCGGGCCAGCCAATTTTTGATCGTTCGCTCACTTTGCTGCTTAATACTTGGACGGAGTTCCCCTCCCCAAAAGGCGATATGGACGGTCACTTATTTACAGTGATGCCTGACTGGATAGACCCAAAATTCGCAAATACACCCAGCGTCCAAAAAACACAAAAGCGTTCAAACATCCAGCACGCACTACATCTTTTTGGTTTTGGACCTAGTAAAAGCAAGAAGGATTCTTAGTATGACCACTACTGGTAAGATAAAAAGTCAGTACTGGTACAAACGTGGGACAAGGAGGAGAAACGATCATTTTGATCCAGGTCCACTGACTTCGTGTCCAGTGAGATGTCCGATCCTGCTCGATGATGGCTGCATCTATGAGGACGCTGCAATGTGAGAGAGTTGCCTGCGTATGCCTGCGTGCCGAATGATTTCCTTATTCCTTTTGAGTGGAGTAGGAGGTAGTCCGGTAGCTAATCAGGTAGCTAACAAGATCATACAACATGAATAAATATCATAAATATCTAGGAAGTGTCAAACAAATCTAGGAACCACGCGTGAGCTTTCCTGGGTCCTAGGTAGTAGCTCAGCTACTAGCTACCTCTTACGGCCTACCCCCCCCCCCAAATATTTTTGAAATACCTAAAAAAGAAAAAAATAGAACAATGGGTAATAAATACATTGATGATATACTTAAGTATTGAATACGCAATGAGCATCGGCAGCTTTTTGAAGTTCGTAGAGCTGGACGCAGAACTGGAGTTCTTCGAAATCTCCTTTCGACTCCTTCGGCCCCGCTCGGTTTGAAAACTGGACAGCGGGAATAAAGAGGAATTGCTTACACTGTTTTCTTTTGTTTTATATGTTTGTCCTTGGGAAAATTCAAGTTCTTTCAGAAAACTGGCATCAAACACAGTGCTTTCCCCTGTTTGCGCAGGAGCATGCTGCTTTGACATGGCTTCGATCAATGGGGTCGCCTTCAAGCAAATGGGTCGTTGGCTCAGCAGACTTGCCCACCCCCACCACCTAGTTGCAAAGTGATACAGGCGGCACAAACGTTACACCGTTATATACACATTTTGACAATGAGGCACTGAGACTTGGACCCTTGGCAGAAGCTGTTGAGGCTGACACCATTTAGAAAAGTGTAAGAGAATGCATACTGTTTCGGTCCGCGCTAGGCTTTTCTCCAGCACTGCAACGCAGGGGGGTATTGTGTGTCAGAGCAAATGGAGCAGGCGGAAGATGGATTTCGATTGATTTGGGTATTTGGAAATCACAGTCTGTTCCAAATCTTTGCATATTTGTGCCACTTACACTGCAGTCTCATTGTGATTTTTCAAAGCTAACGGCTTTGTCACCTCATTGTTAGGCCATGGGCGAGGCAGAGATGCCAGGACAGATTCCCGCCATGTCTGGGAAGATAGCATGATAAAGCCACACCTGGGTGTTATCAAAAGTTGGAAAACCTCTACCCGAATCTAAGCGTTTCCATACCATGTCGCCTTTGATGTCAATATAATAACTATATATAACCTCTTTGTCAATCCCTTCTTAAGAAACATCTATGTCTTCCTTTGAATACAGTTCTTTTTGCAAGGTTTGGTTTGAGGTTCGTGCTTCTTTGTTTTACTTCCACCATGCAAGCCTTCAAGGTGTCAGAACTCAAACTGCAATGCATAAGATTTCTCTCCTTCAAAGCCTTCTCAGCTCTTCAGTATCGACGCGATGTTTTGGCAGGTTTCTTGCTTTCTGGCAAGTCATGAAGGAGGTAGTTTGAAGAAGAGTCCACCAAAGCGATAATTGGTCAAGCGGCCAGTCAGAAGTCATAAGTGATAAGTGAGGTGGGAAAGGATTAACAACTGATTCCATAAGAATATCGTCGTTGGTTCAAAGCTTGGGTGCCTGTTTTTCTTGGCTCACGTTATGCATCCGTATTATATGTGAAGCCGAAGGTGACGTTCAGACATGTTGCACGAGTATTGCTGTGAGGTAGGGGGTAGACATTGATTTTGGAGTCAATGACCTCTATGCGCCACCCACGCATCACAGATCAGATCACATCACCCTCAAGGCGTAATCGTGTGTGCCTTCACCCGAAGTGTCGTCCTCCATGCGCGGTCTGAGCATCTAGAATCTACAGTAGAGCTCTGGAGACATTCGCATCGAGTCTAGATGAGGCCAATGAAGTCAGTGTATACTTTCCTTGACAAGATTCAATCATGCAAATTCTTGTGGTGTGACTGACCAGCTCTCACAACGGCAAGATACATTTTTGCCTTCTGCCTGGTCAACAGAGCCCGGTTGAGTCACTCCGTGCTTGGACAGCTGTGTCCCCAGCATCGGTCCATTCCTCTCCAAGTCCTTGGAAGGTGAGACAATTCCTCCTCAATTCGACCAAGCTCACTTCCAGGACCATTGGACATCTTTCTTTTTAGCCCGCCCTTACTTAGTTATGTAGACACCTACTTAATTAAGTATGGGAGTAAGCTAGGCTACTAGCAATAGGAAGCTCCTCGCTCGGAGGCAGGATAGCTCACGCTTCCTTCAAGAAGTGCTCGCACTATTCATTTGGTTTCTAGATTTCTAGGGAAACAGAACTTTGTCGAAGACGGTGTTCATCCCCTCCAGATCTGCGTGATCTTCTGCAGCATTGCCTCGCTGAGCGTTCTGGCCAGCATTTCCTCCTTTTGCATTGTGTTCAGCCTTACCTGGGGGGTTCCAATACCTTGGCTCGGACCTGTTCCTTTTCCAAGTTGCTCGGCAGCTGTTCCTGAGCAGCGTTCACACGTTCACACTTTCTCCCACCTGCTCCGGTTTTTGCATGCCCAGTGGCTTCATGCCAATTATGCCAGGTAGCTCGCTCACCCTGGCTGCACCCCGCATGCAGCTCCGATGCACAGTCCTCTCCATCCTGACCAGAGCATATTGGTCTGGCCTCCAAGCAAGCAATTGGCCGTAAGGAAGTTCTCCTTGATGGAGCGCTGGTACTGGGCCTTTGCAACATCAGCCCATCCCAAGCTCGTTTGCTTCAGAACAGCTTTGTTTTGCCGTGGTCCCTGGCTTCAAATTTGGAGGGGCTGCCCTTTGGGCAGCACTGTCGCCTGTGTTGGGCTCATCACCTCCATGCGGAGCATGCGCTTTTCTGTGAATAAAGACAGGTCTTGGATTAGCCCTGCGTTCAGCTATTTTATCAATGTTATTCCAGGATACAGTATTCCATATCCTCAGATAATGAGTGCTCCTTCAAAGGCTCACTCCCCCAAACATCCAGTTTCCTCCAGGAACTCCATGGTTGAGAAAGATTGCGATCCTGGAAGCTTCACGGCGCATGTTGTCCTTCTTCCGCGCATTTATACTCTGATCCTTTGAGTGTTCACAGCCATCCGAGGCCTCCATGGAGCAAGCCGAAAAAGAGGCAGCATCCATCAGGCACCATTCGCTTGAGACGCAGGCGCTTTCACACACATGGAAGTCAACGCAAACAACAATAACTACATACAAATCGACTTGATACTGCTTGTGAGTTGTGTTGAGATGTCATTTTGGGCCGCGTGAGCCTTTTTTTCAATTTTTTTTTGCAAGCAGGTGCTAATTCGGTAAAGTGGAGAGAGTCTTTGTGTGTCGAGTTTTGCTTTCAGGGTCCTACAAACTTGAGTCAGTTATTGCATCGAAAACCGCACAGTTTATTTTTTCGATGACATTAATTTAGACTTTCATGCTGTGCAATTGTCACCGTGGTGTCCTTCCGCCTCTCCAACTTAGCTCTCATCATGTCCTTTTCTGATCGAAAGTCGATCATACAGCTTTATTTTTCATGGTTCCGTATCATTTTGGTGGTGGTCCCCGTTTGGTTCACCTATTGTCCCCTCCTACACATTCGATGACCACTTTCCATTTCTCCAGTTGTGCAAGCAGTCAGACACTCGTTCAACCTTGCTCGACAGCAGTAACTAAGAAACAATTGCTTCGTTGATTCTGACTTTGTCAAGTGCATCGCTGTCTTCCTGCCTCCATCAATCCAATGTAGAAGAGCTAGTGTTTGGTGTTGTTGAGGACTCGGCATAGATTCTGCATCAATAAGATTCAATAAGCACATTTGCTTGTTTACCGCTAGGCATTGCTGCAGCGCTTGAAGAAGCAAACCGCCAAGAAAAAGGACTGCACGATACTCCTGTTGAGGGCTTCTGGGATTTACACATGAGTGAGCGCCCAAGAGGAAGAGGCTGCCTTGTGTCTTCAACGAGCATTCCGCTCGAAGCAGTTGCGCCCTGGCCAAAAAGGAACAGGTCCTCCTAGGACCTTGCATGTCCTGTACCACAAGCATGGACAGACAGTCTTTCAAGAGTGTTTCATAGCATATGAGAAGGTAGGAACATTGTTCCTTAGTTTCGCGCAGGTGCGATGCAGAACAATAAAGGTGCATTCTTTTGAGAGTTGCAAAGGATATTATATACACATATATACACCGTAAGGGTTTTGTCGGGAGGAGGTGCAACTTGTATTTACCCCTGCATGGGAAGGCTTTTTGAAGTGCAAACTGGCGATTCGGACCAGTGGGCAAGCCTCCCAAGCATCCGAATATATCCGAATTGCAATTCTTGCCGACCTCCGACGGAATGTGGGGTCACATGAAAGTTGAGGGATAATTATGCCTGGCACCACTCTATGCTGCAAACCTTTTGCCATCGCATTCATTGTCATGGTTGGGGCTGTGTTGAGAGCTATGCTTTAGGGGTGGTGTGGTTCAGCTCTTGTTCAGAAAAAACGGATGTCCTCCTGAAAGTGGGTTATATACTTGTGTACTGCAATGCTTTTGGCTACGTACGGGCATTCTATCAAGCTTTCCTGCCTTTTCTCATGGAAGGTTAGAGGGTGTTTAAATGTTGGGATAACAAAGATCCAATGCTGCCTGAAGGTGGGAGAAGCAGCAAGCTGCAGCTGTGTTCCTGCAAAGATGGTGGCGAAACCTGAGGACTTGCTTTGAACGAACACAGCGAAACCTGAGGATACAGGCTTTCAACACCGAGCTTTGTGTTTGGTGTATTGTCATGTTCAAGAAATCAGCTTTCTCCAAAGTTACCAAGGAGAGGAGCCAAGAAGCCAAAGAGAAGACGTGGTAAAGCACAAAAGAAAGGAGATGACCAAACCGTTTCATTGTATAATTCACAGTGTATACAGTATAATATATATAATACATATTGTATATTAAAATACTATAATACTTTTATTAGACGATGCCAATGTGAACAAACAGAAGCACAACAATGTGTGACACAGGTGAGCACCATAATTATTGCACCGTGTTGCACTTTGGGATGCGTCAACAGCTAAAGACAACCTGCACTTAGTTTGTTTGAGGCTTCCTTAAGTTGAATCTCGACTTGTTGCCCCACGGTATGAATCCCGAGCCAGGATCTGTCAAGCCCGCAGAAGAGTCACTGGGGCAAGACATATGGCAAGTAAGCAACAGGAAGCATGAATCACAGTCACATTCAGCATTGTGCTTGACTTGCGCCGTTTGAGGCCAGCACAATCTTCTCCTCCGCCAGTAGAAAGTGTCCTTGAACTCAATAAGCAGTGCCAAAGCTCAGAATCAACATGACAAGCCGGCTGAACTGGTACCAGTATGATGAAATATGAAATACTTGGCAGCATAGCATTTTTGAACTGAGTCCAAAAACTGCCGACCCTTCTCGCTGGGCCTTTGAGGCACCAACAGTATGCAAGGATTGAGGAAAAAGTCAGGGTCCTCGGAGTCCTCAGGCAAAGCTCAATAATGTACAGAATCCTGAGCAAGCGCGAAACGTTGCATCAGATTAAGTGAATCCTTTGCAAACGCTTAAGGACAAACGTGCCGTCCTTGACTTCTTCCTGGATCAGCTCATGTTTCTTTGCCTTCATTGCATTTTAAACAAAGAAGTAATGCACCGACTGAGAGTCGCCAGCACGGCTCGTCGTGGTCATTCTTTGCGTGGATTGCAACACATGTGAACTATGATACTGACAGCAAGATGTTCGATGCAAACACCACCCAGAGTCAATGTGTGCTCTTTATCAGACAGGTATGATAGCACCAACTTTCGGATACTCATCGTGACAAGCTCGGACGAGCGCCTTAGTTGCAGATCGAAAACCTATTTCCAAACAAGAAGTGAGAAAAAGGGGCAAGGACTCTTCCCACCAAAAGAGATGCACAGGTTCCATCCGGAAAACAAGCGTGTGGCGTCTGAGGCGTGCTCAAGGCCTCAGGAAAGTCCTCCAGATGTCAAAGGCAGTTCAATATCCATTGGTGACAATGCTGAAATCGGATGATGCAGCTTCGAAGCAAATGTCATTGCTCATCATTTCTCCATATTGCTCCCAATAACTCATTTTCTGTGCTCGACATCTCCAAGATGTTCTAGACCTGCAATTCACGAATTCACCTAAGGAATCACACCGGTTCAAGGACCGCTTCTTGAGGGTTGCTCGTCCAGGTATTTTCAGACTACAGTGGATTTGGTATTGTGAATCACAGGAGCTGCCGGAGTGTGCTGGAATAATATCTGAAGGAAGGCTCCGTGGGAATCCTGATGTCTCGGCAGCAAACATGTGCTTTGGGCTGCATAGGGCCCAGAGTGGAGGTTCCAAACTTGTGTTTGACAAGGATGAGCACCTGTCCGGCTTTTTCAAACATGTGGACACCGTTGGGTTTTGGGACAGGAGACACAACCAACGTTTTGGTGACCGGTTCAGTAGCTGCTTAGCGGATGCTACGGGCAGTGAGAAGTGTTTGTCAAGGAAGAACCGACATCAAATTTCTGAAGAGTTAGGGGCAGCCAGAGGTAGGACTTAAAAACTGCACTTAATCTGTAAGGTTTTGTTTCTTCCAAATGCTCGTTTTATGTCCAAAATCATCATCCTTTGTTCTTGCACGTTTCTTGTGTTCGAGGATGGTTAATTTTGACATGCCTCGCAGCTTGGAGCCTTTGGCAGCGACAAGGGTACACTGTAAGCAACATGTGACACATTTGACATTCCCTGGATTGAGAATTATCATTTATATATATTGTGAAGACATGAAACAGACTTCATGATTGTTCTGTGCTGGACACGACATGATAGCCGGACGGGACATGATCGGGACACCTACAGTCACGACAGGTGCTCGAATCCCGGTGAAACCTTTTAGGCCTTGAGCCTACTCGAGGTGGGCGGAAAAGTTCGCTCGCTCAGGCTTTTGCGCTCTTGACACTGGTAGGCGGAGCCTAGCCCCTTTTTTTCCTCGGCGGTGAGCCATTGGATCCTTCTGGAGACTCTGACCCCACTGAGGGAAGTTGGTTGATTGGAAGACAGTTGATTGCCGTATCGTGCTTTTCTCTGTCGAGGCGGACCAGGGTGGTATCTGTTCACTATCATACCGGAACGGTTGGTTCACTGGTGAGCAATATCCTTTGGTGGTTGCCAGTGGAATTCAGTGCAAATTTTGATTCAGGAGCCCACAAGTTTCACATTGCACGAGTTGAGTTTTGAGGATGTCGAGCTCTTCAGGACAGTCACTTTTTGTTGACCCCAAGTCCAATGTGGTCCACTATGATGGAAGCCCGAAGCTGGCTGAAGAATATGAGGAGAGAGTCTGGTTGGGATTTCAGACGGTCGCCAAAGATGACAAGGTCAGCTATGCAGCGAAGTTGAAGAACGCTCTATTTGGAAGAGCTTGGACCCTCTGTCATCGCAAGCCGGAGATCGCGGCCCAGAAGCTCCTCCAGCTCAGCGAGGCCGAAGCGAGCGCCAATGCAGGTCCCAAAGCAGCAGTGCAGTTGGTGGTGAAGACGGTCAGAGCTGCATGTGAGAAGGTCGCTCCATTGTTGAAGACTCAGACCTTTGAAGATTACTTCTTCGACAAGGGACGGCGCCGCTTGGGAGAGAGCATCCAGGACTACATCAGCAGAAGAGAGAGCGAGTATGAGAAGCTGACAGGACTTACACAAGGTCACACAAAGCTCTCCTTGGACCTCCAGGCCTTCTTCCTTTTGAGGAATGCAGGTGTGAACCCAAGCCAGCATAGAGCCATTTTGGGTCAGGCTGGAAATGAATATGATTGGGACAAGATCGTGGAGGCCATGCTCATTCAGCTTGATGGCGGAGATGAGATGACAGGCAAAGGTTGGAAAGGAAGTTACAAGTCCCGCTCACAGAACAGCTATGGTGCCGGAAAGCGAGGTTCTTGGGCCTTTCCCATCGAAGAAGAGTGGTCAAGCTATGATGGAGAGACAGAAGAGGCCTATGCCATTGATGAATGGTATGCAGAAGAGCCAACGGATGATGACATCCCGATCTATGAGGTTGAAGAGGACGTTCAACATGACATTGAAGAGAGGGAGCATGCAGTCGAAATCATGGCAGTTGAAGACCTCACCAACGAGGAACTGGACGTCTTCGCGGCCACCATCCAAAAGATGGGCAAAGGTGCTTCCGAATATGCCAGGAAGAGACAGGCCGTGAGAGATGGGAAGACCAATCGTGGTTTTCAGTCGCAGTCCAGTGCAATTGGTCACAACAAGACATCGATTGCATTAGATGGCAAGTTGACACTCAATGCAGGACAGCTTCAAGACAAGATCCAACAGGTGAAGGCTCGCCCACAATGTTACGATTGTGGTCAGAAAGGTCACTGGCGAGGAGATCGAAGTTGCCCCAAGAACCCTGGGTCACCGAGCTCAAAAGGTGGCAAGAAGGGACAAGGAAAGAAAGGCGGCAGAAAAGAAGGTGTTGAAAGGAGTGAATGCAGATGCCCCAGTGATGGTTCATCATCAGCAATGGATTGACATCCACATTGCAGGTCAAAAGGGCAGAGTGGCTTTGCATCGCCTTCCCAATTCAGATGTTCCGTTGCTCCTTGGGTTACCTCAGCTCAGGGAATTGGGAGCGGTGATTGACCTTACAGCAACACCCAAGCCTACCATCCAGTTCACAACCATTGGTTCAGAGAAGGTTGAGATGGACTATGGAACTGGTGGACATTTGTTGCTGAACATCGGACAAGGTGGACGAAACAAGAAGTCTACACGAAACGGTGGAGGTATTTCATCAGCTGAAAGCCAAAGACTTCAACGTGGAGACCATCAGGATTATGAAAGGAAAGTTGAGAAGGAAAGTTCAAAAGATGGCAGAAGAGGCAAAAGAGCACGGCAGAGCACTTTGGAAAGAACTTCGAAGGGGAAAATCGTTCCCATGCGAAAAGGGTGATCGTGAAGGAGCTCTACAGTGGTGAAGATGGTGGAGTTGTGACGGCCTTAGCAAAGGACAATGAGATGCCCGTGGGACGACCACGTGATCTTTTGCTGGGAGACAACTTCTTGAAGAAGGAAGATCGTGATTGGGTCTTGGCAGAGATCAAGGTTGAAAAGCCAAGTCTTGTCACGATGGGTTTCAATTGTGATCCCTGGACGCCCCTCAGCAATTTTCTGGATGAAGACACTCGAAGGGTACAGCAGGAGATTGCCCTCGATCATCTGGATTTTGTGAGGCAGGTTTGCGAACTTCAAATTTCTGAAGGAAGACACTATTTGTTGGAGAACCCATTGGCAAGTCAGGCATGGAAGATTTTGCTGGAAAAGATTGAACATGTGCCGCATTACACATCCCGCATGGACCAATGTGCAAGTGATCTGAAGGACATCAATGGAGACTTTGTTTTGAAGCCTACACGCTTTGTCACATCCTCTCCGGTTTTGGCTTCAATGCTGACATTGAGATGCACAGGAGATCACGAACATGCACAAGTTCAAGGTCGTGGGGTGAAAGATGGCAAGAATATTTCCTCCATGCTGGGACAGTGGACACCCCAACCTGGTGTCATGATTCTTGAAGGCATTCAGCGACAAGTTCTTTTGGAGGAGAAGTGTGGAGAAGTCAAGTACTACCTTGAAGAGGAAGATGTGTACCACAATGCACTTCAGAGAAGCTCGGATGTTGTGTTCCGACAACGGGAAGAAGAAGACCTCCAGACTTGGGAAGAAGTTCCCGTACTTCTCAGAAGCGCAATCACGAAGGTGCACCGACAGTATTCCCACTCCCTCTACAAGGAGAACTTCAGCCGACATTTGAGGCTATCAGGTGCATCAGATCAAGCAATCAAAGCAGCATCCTTGTTCACTTGTCCTACCTGTGAGAAGGAGAGAAGAAGCCCAGCAAGACCGATGGCCGCAGTTCCAAAGTATGATCATTTCAATCAATGTGTGGCCATGGACATTGCTCACATCCCTGATCAAGATGATGTGATGCACTCCTTCCTGCTCATGGTGGACATGGCAACATCATATACTCTTGCTTCATATTTGTGCTGAGGTGAGACTCCAGGTCGACCAAAGAAGCCCCACAATCTTCACAATGCCGCAAGTCGCTTGTCGACTGGATGGAAGTCTTCGGAAGTCCTGATCGAGTTCAGGTCGATCAAGATGGATCATTGAGAGGAGATTTCCGGGAGTTGCTTGACCGTTTTGGCATTGAGGAGATCTTGGTGGCACGAGATGCACATTGGAGTCATGGTGTTGTGGAGCGAAAGATTCTCACTGTGAAGGAGATGATGATGAAGGTGGCTCACGACAGTGAAATCAAAGGTGCTGTATTGACGAGAGTGGCTGTGGTGAATTGTGTACAGGCCATCAACAGGCTGTCCAATCATCGTGGATTTTCTTTAGCTCAGTGTGTTTTGGGATTTCAACCAAATTTGCCGGAGATCATGGGTGACAGTAGAGGTATTCCCAAAACAGATCACGATGATCATTTTGCCATGGCACAGCGGATGAAACTACTTCAAGACTGTGGACATGCTTTTGTGAAAGCAAATCATTCCGCATCTCTTCGTCGTGCCCTACTTCCTCAAACCCGACAGCAACCAGGTCCATTTGACATGCACTCGCTGGTGATGTACAAAAGGAAAGGACTCAAGCACAAGGCTTACAAGCAGTGGCATGGACCAGCACGGGTGATCGGGAGAGATCTGCATGGATACTGGATTATCCACAGAGGCACCCCCATTTTGGCACATCCACACAACATGAGAAGAGCCATTGCAGAAGAACAAGAATTGATGTTGGAGGATGAAGGCAGTCTCCCACCGAAGAACGGACAACAAGGTTTCCTTGACCTCTCAAAGCCGCAGGACCCCATCGATCTGGAGGATGAGAATGAGTATGAGCCGACAGAACCACCAGATGAGAATGATGTGGAGTCGCCCAAGGCAGCAGGCGAGATGGCAGCAACCTATCAAGATGAAGGTACTTCGAGTGGTGATGAATCCCGTGAAGTTCGAGCCATGAGGAAGATTGAAAGAGAGGAGAAAAGGAAACTCGAGACTGAGGAGACCACAGAAGCTGCTGACGATGATGATGAAGAAGCTCGGAGAATCAAAGGTCTTCGTCGCCCTAAGAAGACTGAGGAGAGCTCAAGCAAGAAGAGAAGAAAGAGGAAGAAGAAGTTGGAAAGCTCAAACCAACAGAACATTGAGGAACAGCCTGTTCCTCTTCCCGAAGACTCTCCCAGTATGCCCTCGATGATTTCTCAAGATGAGGAACATAAGAGGAAAAGAGACCTACTCCTTGACGACGTGCCGGAGTCAGCGCGTGGTGTCATTCGGAGAATGCTAGAGGAAAAGGCAGAGAGTGGACAGGAAGAATCTCAGAGCATCCTGACCCCTGAGGAGAAGGAAACCATGTGTGTTGCCTTTCTAGCTGAGAGATTGGACACCTACACCAAGCACAACAAGCATACAGAGTTGAATCCACAAAAGATGAAGGCACAACTTTCCACGGAGAAAGAGATCGAGGAAGCAATGCAGAAGGCGGTGGAGAAAGAAATCGGGACATGGCAGAAGGTTGATGCCATTGACATCATTCCTCCAGAGCAAAGTCAGCAGGTAAGAAAGGAAACTCCAGAGAAGGTGATTTCTTCAAGAGGAGTATGGACAAAGAAAGATGATGAGAAGCGAGAAGCACATGAGAAGGAGGAGCTGATCTTGAAATGCAGGGTTGTTGGTCGCGGCTTTCAGGAAGAATATGATGAGTCGCTCAGGCGAGATTCACCAACATGTTCAAACCTGCTTGTTCAGATCACTTGCAGTTTGGCCTCCTCTCGCTTCATGAAGCTCACAGCTGCTGATGTGCGTGGTGCTTTTCTTCAAGGTTTGAAGATTGACAGAGAGCGGTATTTTGAACCTCCCAAGAACCTTGGAAAGGCTCAAATTCCTGGAGTTCAACCTGGTTCATTGTTGAAGCTCAAAAAGTCAATTTATGGTGTGAATGATGCTGCACGGCAATGGTACCATTCCATCAAGGGAATCCTCCAAGGACTTGGCTGGGAAAGCCTGACATTCGAGTTGGCAGGTTTTGTGCTTCGAGAACCTACAACACGAGAGTTGATTGCAATCCTGGCGCTACATGTTGATGATGTCCTCATTGCATGGAATGAAAAGCAGTTTCCCGATGAATGCAAATCCATGCAGGAAAAGATGCAGAAAGAAGTTGAGTGGGGACAATGGAGGACGGACGGCACACTGAAGTTTTGTGGACGTTCCTACACCCAGGAAGAAGATGGAACAATCCATGTGCACGCACAAGATTACATTGACGCCATGAGCACCTACAAAGTCAGCAGAGAACGTGGCAAAGACAACAACGCATCTTTGACCACGAGTGAGGTGAAAGCTTTCAGAGGACTGTTAGGTCAACTACAGTGGTATGCACGGATCATGGGCTATGCAATTGGATTGCAGGTGAGCAAACTGGCCAGTGAAGTCAAGAACCTGAAGATCTCCAGTTTGAAGGAAGCAGCCAAGCTGGTTCGTGAGGTGAAGCAATACCACAAAGATGAAGAGTTGATTTACAGACCGGGAATGTCCTGGCAACCGGAAGACATTTCAGTGGTTGCAGTTCACGATGCTTCATTCAACAATCTACCGGGACACAAAAGCCAGAAGGGATACTGGTTGGGCATTTCCACACCACAGATCATGAAGGATCGGACTTCAGTGCATCAGTTTCATTTTGTGCATTGGACATCTTCGAAGATCCAACGTGTGGTGCGGTCTACATTGAGTGCTGAAGCATATTCCTGTTCGGAAGCTTTGGATGCCCTCAGTTGGCTTCGTGCTACAGTTCTGGAGATTTTGCATGGTGATTTGGACATGAAGCAATACAAAGAGCATCTACACAAGATCCCTGGAGTGACGGTCACAGATTGCAGGCCCCTATATGATTGCATGAAGTCGGAACGAGTGCTTCTCTCAGACAGAAGGTTGTCGCTCGAAGCAGCCATCATCCGGCAGAGTTTGCAAGAAGGGATAGAATGCAAGTGGGTCCCATCAGAGCAGCAGTTGGCCGACGCTTTGACAAAGGCCTTACATCGGAAAGGATTGGCATACCTGAACGATGTGCTGTACTCAAACAAGTGGACTCTTGGACCAGACCCACGTCTTCCAGAGACATCGAGAAGCCGGAAGCTTGAAAGCCCAGATGAAAAGCCCAAGCCGGAGAAAGTTCAGAATCATGAAGAAGCAACAGCAATCAACAAGTTGCCCATTGAGCTCGATGATGATGAAATCATTGACAGCCCCAACACAACAGCCTCAGCATCCACGACATCCCCAGGCAGTGGTGTGAACACGAAAGCAGTACTGATGTTATCATTTGCACAGCAGTTCCTTCCAGTCAATGCAGAGCAAGACGTAAGGACGATTTTGCACTCATGGTCATGGGAGTTGATTTTTGCGCGCTTGATCATTGTACTGACAGCAGCTCTTTGGTACAACACAGTTGAGTTCACCAAACTGTTTGGATGGTATGAGGACCTGGCATTGTACAAACAAGGCGCTCTTGTTGCAACAGTGACAATGCTGACGGTGGCAATCGGGATGAAGGCAACAGTTTCACAGAATTCAGAATTTCTTACAGTGTTGTTGGGAGCAATGTTGATCATGATGGTGATGATTGTGAAGAGAATTGATGAAAAGACAACGACTACAAACCTCATCTTGGGAACCGAGAGAAGAAAGACCCAAGAGCTGATCCATGCTGGACTTTCACAGATGTTTTCTGAGAACAACATCATGTTGACCAACATGGACGGATTGAGGCATGCAGTCAATGAAGACTTCAAGAAACTCTCCAATTTCGTCAATGACAGCAATCGCTTTACATATCAGAAGATGGACGATATATCAGAAGGACACAATTACAGAATCGCACAAGTCATTGATAGATTGATCCGGATTGAATACAAGCAGGAACGACAGGAAGTACGAGCACTGGATCTGGAGAAGAGATTGAAGCAAAAGAAAAGGAGAAGGACACCATCGATGAGCTCAGAAGCAAAACGTGACATCCTGCAGAAACGACAAGATCGTCGCGAAGCACCAGGAACCCCGACAGAGTCAGAAGTGATGAGCTTATTAGAGTCACCGACCCCTCAAGAACTGTTCCCAGACCCATCAGGCGATGGAAGGATAGCGCCCTATGAGGAGCGAGATGAAAATGATGAAGAATTTGAGGGTGGACCCATTGAGAAGCCGACAGGTATGAGCAAAGAGCAATGGGACTCTATGACAACAAAGGAGAAAACATATTTTCTTCTGACAGTTTCCTGGGAGGCAGCATGTGTCTATGAAGACCAAGAGCAGATGAGCAGGATTGTCGGTGAAATGAGGACGCTGGCTGACGAGATCAACAACGAGAGATTGGCATCCCTCTCGGGCGCCAGTAGTTCTCACCATGATGTCCCAAGGGCAGAACAATCACAGAACATTGAGGAATGTGAAGACATGAAACAGACTTCATGATTGTTCTGTGCTGGACATGACATGATAGCCGGACGGGACATGATCGGGACACCTACAGTCACGACAGGTGCTCGAATCCCGGTGAAACCTTTTAGGCCTTGAGCCTACTCGAGGTGGGCGGAAAAGTTCGCTCGCTCAGGCTTTTGCGCTCTTGACAATATATATATATATTTCAATTCTTATTGACTTTTCAGATGCATGTTATAATGCCTCTTAAATCATTAGATCAGATTAGTGACATGTGCACGTGCAAGGACGATTATATATTGCGGATTCAGATGGTGGATCCTTTCGTAAAGGTTCGTCGGAGAAACAGTGTAACAGTTGGCGGTGGCATCATCATGGTGTTTGCTTGTCCGACATTTGTGCGCAAATGCAGAAAAATTAACGAGACGCCGAGACGCCTGCTCAGATTCGATAAACCCGTATTGAAAGCAGATCCTCAATTGTTTTCGTTTTATTTTGGGGTGACTGACTGGCGCAGCTTCCTTTCTTCCCAATCAATCTGAAGTTGACGCATGCTGCTGCCTCGCCTTTTCTTGTATTTGTATTTGACTTTTAAAAATGGACTGGGTGCAACAGTTCAGGATTCACCACCTTCAGCTGAATACCTTGACTGCTACTAGAAAGCTCCTCTCATACGCATGAATACTTGTGCACCCTGCACGTTATGTACAGTCCCCAGGAGTGAATTTAAGTGGCTTTTGGTTTCTTCAGAGCACTGATCCGCTCCAAGCAGGCAATCAGATGACTTCCTCTATTTTCCCAGCATGTCAGCTCAGTTCCCTATCCTTTCCTCTTTCGCTTTATTACTTTTCTCGCCTTTGACTAAAAGTCTGCTTCTGGTCCATTGCCAAAGACCCTGTTTGGCCACTTCGCATGTTGATCAATGAAGCTCTTCCGTCGACTAGAATGACCAGAAACGAGTTCCCAACCATGCTCCCTACTCCCTTGTTAGTTGCAATGCCAACAACTTGGACGCTGGTTTGATAGTAACTTAGTACGTATGGTGACAGATTGATGTGGAAGTTACTTGCACTAGGTAGCAGTTAAAAATCTGCAGGCCCCCCGCAAGGATACCTGTGCACCATGTCCTGTTCAGCACTGGAAAGCATGGTGCAGGTGATGAGCTTGCCGGCAAGCCCCGAAGAGATGGGAGTTATCCGTCAGGTGAACCGCTCATTTGTTGTTTGAAGTCATTCGCTTCAAAATTTGGCAATAGCTTCTTGTCTAGTAGCGATGGCCTCCAACCTACTTGCGATGGTCTCCACCTAATAGCGTCCTAGATTAGAAAACGCGACTTCAGCTGCCGGCATTCCGAATGTGAGGTTGAAGATAAGTTTGGAGTTGTCTTCAGGAACATGGAGGCTCAGCATTGATTTCTAAGCATCCCATTTGCCGTACTTGGCCCAATTGCCGCTTCGAGATTTTGGCAGGGGGTGGCCAGATTCAAGATCCTCCAGAACAGAAAAGCACTGAGGCCATAGTTCGACACACTTGATGCTTGTTTTTTCTTCACCTGCCCACGCACACCACTTGTGGCCATTACGCATTTTGTGCTTGTGCGTCTTTTGTTCCCTGAAACTAATTGAAACTAACTTCCCTCCAACCTACTACAATATAACTTATCGTTAAAGTGGAAAACCACCTGTTTGTAGAGGAACAGTCTCGGTCAGCCGTTTTCCTCTTCCATGGTAATGAGTCGGAGTCGGAGTGTAAGTGCCACTAAGACATTCAAGAGTTCTCGCACAAGAGAGGGAGCCGTTCTTGGCACCCTCCCTTGGCTTGAAGACACTACTTTGGTATATAATTATATAATTAGCACAGCCAAACGTTAATTGCTAGGGGCGGTTAAACTTCTGGATTCCTGGTGGAGTCTTTGGACATTCCTTTAGAGTCTCTGTAGTCGCATTTGGGGTCTTCTCTTCTCGGTACGTTCCGAGAGGGAAAGCGAGTAGTAAGGGACAGTGGGACCGTGTGCAACCCCTTAATGCTGCAACGGCTCAAGCGTTTAGATCTGCCGAAACTTTGCAACATCCTCAAGTTCCCCTTCCCTTCGGCCTGTTTCGGCTTGCAGGAACAAGCTGGCAGCAACAGGACGCTTGTCTGAAATCTATTTAAGCAGCTGCCGAATGCCAAGCTTGCTCACTGCCTACTCGCACAGTGCAGGACATTCTTTTATGTCGAACAGGATCACTGTATATAATTAGGCAACACACTTTGTCGCCGCCCTGCAACGAAGCCAGGTAGCCAGCGACAGAAAATGCTGTAGCCCAAGACTGTACATCAGTGACACGCGGCAGGGCTTCGCTGTACATTTTTTTGGTTCACTTTTAGGAGGAATGCGTGGCGCTTCCAGCACAATATCAAATCTCTTGTCTTTTCTGTATGTCTTCCATTATATATATACTATAATATTTGCGTGAGCGGACTTCAATTTGTTTCATTCCCAAGCGCCACTGCAACGAGTGTTCTTCAGCATGTCCAGCGTGTTGAAGAGGATTGTGCTTGTCCTTCTGGATATCATAGCTGCGCACGGTACACAATTGTGTGCCACATTTGGCTGATTGACTCTGTGCATGGCCTGCATCAGTTCATTCTGAACTGCTTGGAAGGAGCTGATTGGAGCTGGCTGCACAAACTGTAGCCATACTCAAAAGGTATCTCTTTGCGCTTCATCAAATGCATGATTGTCACACCAGGCCATTTGTTTGCGTTCGTCAAACCGTCAATACGTTCAATACGGTCGCCAATCATGTTCTTTCGGCCCGGAACCGCTCCTGCACTCACAGTGTTTGGCCAAGCAGACCAACCCACACAAGTGATACTCTTTGCAAGACAGTTTCAGGGGTAAGGCTGCAGTATACTTCAGGATCAGAATTCCACTGGAGAAGTTCCCAGGCATACGAGTCATGCAGGTCTAGGCCAACTCACGCTCTGCAAGATTCTCACAAATTTACACGCACACGCTGATAGACTCATCAAGCACCAAACATGCGATTTGGCAAGTTGTAAAGCCACTCTGAAGGGAAACAACATGTGAAGCTTTTATGAGCTTTTCGCTTTGTTGCAAACGTATTGCTGTAGCCATCCTGAAGTAGAAGGACGTATTGACAATAAAGCTTGAGCCCGCTTTCCGGCTAGCGCATTCTTTGTGGGTAGCCTCATATCTTTAAACATGCAGTGCCCATCCGAATGTGATAGCTGGCGTTGCTTGAAACAGTTTAGTTCGACCCACTATTCTGGCATGTGTGGTCTTGCGGATAGTGGCCTCAGCATTTGGGATCGCAGACTGTGCAACGGAAGAACGCTTTTCAATTCGAGGCCGGCAATCTGTGTTGCGGGTGCTCCTCCTGTAAGTTTTGCTCGGCTTTGGCCGCATAGGCTTCGAACCAGATGGTGATACGATTGCTCCTGTGCACCACTGCGTACATCATCGCAGACAGCCACAATGCCCATGCTCCTTGAGCTGGCATTTTTCTCGGTAGGGTTTGACCGAACTAAAACAACTTGTCAATTCCTACTGCTTCACCTACAATTTCCTACATATGTTCCCAGATTCGGATGCTCGGGACCCTGGGATCCAATCAACAAGTGCAACAGGTGAGTGTGAACCAGGACAGATAGACACGGTGGATACATTGGACGGAAAGGAACATCAAGTTGCACTGGGGCATCCGGTATAAGCTTGTTGGCCACACCACCAACTCCTCATAGCAGGTTCAACCAGTCTCACTGTACTGGAAGTATATTAAGAACATATTTTTCGTTAGTTTTTTTCATTAGTGCAGATATGTGCAAAGTGGAGAGCTGAAATCTGTGCAATGAGGCTGATCAAGGCCGCTTGCCAGCAGTGATGTTGGTCGTCCGCTTTATGAATTTTGAAGTTTGCTTTCCTTTCTCAATCCAAGGATCTGACAAAAGACAGACAGATAGCAACTTCAAGAACTATATCCCTGAGATGTACAGTGAGTATGTTCCAGACATGGGTAATGGTGGATTCAGATATCAAAAATACATGCAGGGACAGCCAAATGCCATGAAGTTCCAACAGAAGGTCCTGCCTCAAGGCAACTATCAGCAGTACATCCCTTTGTCCCAAGAGCAATCGAAGGACAGCGAGGCGGCTTCTGCAGTAGTACTTGCGTCTACGAAGGGTGAGAAGAAAGAGGAAAGCAA